TCAACTAAAATTTAAGAGGAAAGAGTAATTAATTATGAACATTTTAGATAATGCTTTTGTACAATGACAAACAAGTTTCAATTAGTTGTAGTATATAAAATCATTACGTAAAATTATTTGCAGAGCGCAGTACATATTTTTCTGAATAGAGTTTCATCCACCCATATCCAATGTTCAACTTGCTTTTTTTTTTTTTTTAATTTGGGGATGATGGAATGTTCTGATTAATTTAATACTCCACTAGATATTGATGAGTGCAAAGAACCAGACAAGTATCCCTGCCATGGAACTTGCCGGAATACCATCGGGTCCTACACTTGCAAAAACAAAATAACCTTGCCTATCATTTTGGGTAAGCCCCTTATTCTACCGACTTCTATTTATTTTTATTTCATTTCATTTTGATTTTTCTTTGCAATGGCAACTATGTTAACCAAACATCGACACCAATGTGAAACAGGACTTTATAAAGTTCTGATTTATATATATATATATATAGAGTAATGATGGGGGGACGAAATCGGGGGATAAAATCGAGGGACGACAAGTGATGCAGGGGTCAAATTAGTAATTGCACCACATGCATGAATCCTCCCATCACTTGTCGTCCCCCAATTTCGTCCCCCCATCATTACTCATATATATATATATATATATCTTATGATAAGTTATGACTTATACAATAAATTAATAATCCTCTTTTTTTAATTTATTCCCACCCATTTTAAAACTTGAACTTAAACTTCCAATTAATTTGGAGTATTGAGTTCTTGAAGTTTTGATATTCTTGGAGATCTCTTGATAAAGTTACCCTTTCTCCTTCCTTAATGTTTGTAGGTATCAGTTTGGGGTTTACAGTAGTTTGTTTAGTAGTTATTAGTGCATGGGGGTTGTCCAAAATGTTAAAGAAGAGAAGGAAAATGAAGCTCCGTAGCAAGTTCTTCAAACAAAGCTTATTATGGCAGCAACAATTGTCTTCAACTGAGGGTAACGTTGAAAATACCAAAACATTTAGTATCAAGGAGTTGAAAAAGGCAACTAATAACTTCAATAGGAACAGAATACTTGGTCAAGGAGGTCAGGGCACTGTTTATAAAGGAATGTTGGTTGATGGAAGAATTGTTGCAATTAAGAAGTCCAAAGTACTGGATGAAGAGAAAGTTAAAGATTTCATCAATGAAGTGGTCATTCTTACACAGATTAATCATAGAAACATTGTTAAGTTATTAGGGTGTTGTTTGGAGATTGAAGTTCCTTTGCTAGTTTATGAATTCATCCCGAATGGGACACTTTTCCAGTACATACATGATGAAAATGAGGACTTCCCATTATCCTGGGAAAGACGATTAGCAATTGCATCAGAAGTTGCATCTGCCCTTTCCTACTTACACTCGGCAGCCTCCATTCCCATTTATCACCGAGATGTTAAGTCTTCAAATATTTTACTAGATGAAAAGTATAGGGCAAAAGTTTCAGACTTTGGGACATCAAGATCAATTGCCGTGGATCAAACTCATTTGACCACAAATGTTCAGGGCACATTTGGGTATGTAGATCCTGAATATTACCAATCGGGTCACTTTACAGAAAAGAGTGATGTTTATAGCTTTGGAGTTGTCCTTGTTGAGCTTTTAACCGGAGAAAAACCAGTTTCTTTGGAAAGGGCAGAAGGTGAAAGAAATTTGGCCCCTCATTTCAAAGTTTCCATGGAAGAGAATAATCTCTTTAACATTCTTGATGCTCGAGTTAAGGATAGTTCTGCACATGAAGAAATTATAAAGGTTGCCAAACTTGCATTTAGATGCTTAAGCTTGAGTGGTGAAAGGCGGCCAAGGATGATAGAAATTGCTATGGAGTTGGAGCAAATTTGTTTTTTGCAAAACAATTCAAATGGTCAAAAAAATCATGATGAGATTACAAATGTCAGGACTGAAGTAACCAATCATTGGGATGTTGCCTCCTCCTCAGGAGCTGCTTTGTCAATGGACATGGAACCACCATTTTCAAGTGAATCATGGGGATTGTCAGAAAAGCAAGTGAGCTCAAATATCAAATGATATAGGTGGAGATAGACTATGCTTTGTATGGGTGTATATAGTTTCATTATTACTTGTCATAATATTATTATGATTAGTAAAGAAATTGAAACTACAATAGCTTTAATATTACTAAACAACTTTATAATTTTAGTTGTTAGTGTTAAAATTTATTTTAAATAAATTATTAATTTTTTGTTTTAATTTTAGTTTTCAATAATTTTAAAATTTATGAAAAATAAAATAAAAAATAAAAAACAACTATCGCGTTAAATGGGCCTGAGTACTTTATGAAATCAGGTCATCAATTTGATTCAAATTGATTGATTGATTTAATTGTATGAATAAATTTTAGATTTTATGAAAAAAGAAGATTAAATATTAGGTTAATAGAGTAAATTGTATTTAGATTTTAAAGCCTATATAAAGTTGG